TTCATGATCAGAACACTTAAGAAAATTGGTATAGAAGGAATATTTCTTAAATAGATAGAGGCCAACTACAGCAAACCCACAGCCAATATTGTATTGAATGGAGTTAAACTGAAATCATTTCCACTCAGATCAGGAATCAGGCAAGGTTGCCCATTATCTCCACTGCTTTTCAACATTGTAATGGAAGTCTTAGCCTTTGCAATTAGGCAAGAAAAGGTAATCAAGGGTATCCACATAGGGTCAGAGGTGATCAAACTTTCACTCTTCACAGATGACATGATTGTATACCTGGAAAATACCAGGGATTCTACTACAAAACTCTTAGAAGTGACCAAGGAATACAGCAGCATCTCAGGTTACAAAATCAACACTCATAAATCGGTAGCCTTTATATATACCAACAATAGTCAAGCTGAAAAAAGGGTCAAGGACTCTATTCTTTTCACAGTACTGCCAAAGAAGATGAAATATCTTGGTGTTTACCTAACAAAGGACTTGAAAGATCTCTATAAAGAGAACTATGAAACTCTAAGAAAAAAAAATAGCTGAAATTGTTAACAAATGGAAAAACATACCATGCTCATGGCTGGGAAGAATCAACATTGCTTGTCCATATTACACAAAGCAATATATAATTTTAGTCCAATCTCTATTAAAGCTCCACTGTCATACTTTAAAGATCTCAAAAAAATAATACTTCATTTTATATGGAATTGGAAAAAACCTCAAATAGCCAAAACATTACTCAGAAATAACAAAGCAGGAGGAATCATGCTACCAGACTTCAGATTACACTATAAATCAATACTGATCAAAGCAGCATAGTACTGGCACAAAAATAGAGAGGTAGATGTATGGAACAGAATAGTGATCCAAGAGATGAAATCATCTACTTACTATTATTTGATCTTCGATAAGCCAATTAAAAACATTTAATGGGGAGAAGACTCTCTATTTAACAAATGGTGCTGGGTGAACTGGCTGGTGACCTGTAGAAGACTGAAACTGAACCCACACCTTTCACCATTAACTAAGATAGACTCTCATTGGATTAACGATTTAAACGTAAGACATGAAACTATAAAAATACTAGAAGAAAATGCAGGGAAAACACTTGAAGAAATCAGCGTGGGAGAATATTTTATGAGGAAGACCCCTGGGGCAATGAAGCAACATCAAAAATACACACTGGGACCTGATCAAACTAAAGAGCTTCTGCACAGCCAAGAACCCAGTAAGTAAAGCAACCAGACAGCCCTCAGAATGGGAGAAGATATTTGCTGGCTATGTCTCTGACAAAGGTTTAATAACCAGAATCCACAGAGAATTCAAACAGATTAGCAAGAAAAGAACAAGCGATCTCATCTCAGGGTGGGCAAGGGACTTGAAGAGAAACTTCTCTGAAGAAGACAGGCGCATGGCCTATAGACACATGAAAAAATGCTCATCATCCTGAATCATCAGAGAAATGAAAATCAAAACCACTTTGAGATATCATCTAACTCCAGTAAGATTAGCCCACATCACAAAAATCCCAAAACCAGAGATCTTGATGTGGATGTGGAGAAAAGGGAAATCCATGGAATGGATTAATAAATGGTGGTATATGTACACCATGGAATATTATGCAGCCTTTTAAAAAGTTGGAGACTTTACCTCTTTATGTTTACATGGATGGAACTGGAACATATTCTTCCTAGCAAAGTATCTCAAGAATGGAGGAAAAAGTATCCAATGTAGTCAGCCCTACTATAAAACCAATTTATAGCTTTCATATGAAAGCTATAACCCAACTATAGACCAGGAAGAAGGGGAAAGAGGAGTGGGATGGGAGGGGAGGGGGCAGGATGGGTGGAGAAAGGATAATTGGTGGGACCACACCTATGGTGTGTTTTACAAGGGTACATGTTAAATTTACTAAGTGTAGACTATAGATGTCTTAACACAATAACTAAAAAAAAATTAATAAAATTAAGACTTCTACTTTCCTGAGAGGACTAATAATCTACCTCAGAGTTCTGTGTTCACTCAAATGCAACAATAAGACCATAAATAAGAACACTAACATTTTTATAATGAAGACAGTATTCCCAACCTGGTACTCGTGAATATGTACAGGCCACTGCAAGACAGTTTGACTCCCCTCATCCTGATTATAACCCCCTCTGCACCCTTATCAGCAGGAAGGAGCCAGAGTGGGTTCACCTGATTCCCTCCTCAGTGGTTCACACTTTAGAACTGAAGAATAATCAGAACTGAAGACTGAAACCATTTCTGAGAAACTAAAAAATAAAATTAAATTAAAAAGTGAACAAACATATAGGCCCTAAATAGAACCACAGACAAGCACTAAACAGCTTGCCCTCAACCCCCTACCCTACAGCTGCTACTGCTCATATAGACCCTGCCACAAGGTCCTACTTCTCCACAATTGTATCTAGAGATAACATCTTTAACATTAAGAAACCTTAAACTTTTCTATTTGAGATGTTTTCCAGATCCTTCAATCCAGTCAGCGCACTGGTGCCAGCCAGTCTGAAGTCACCCTCTGAGCAACTGATTCAGAAAAAGGATGCAGTTTCAACACTCTCATGATTTCCTCCCCCATGCCCTAACCAGTCAGCCATCCCAGTTCCTCTGCCTTCTACCTGCCAAAATGCTCTTGAAAAACCCGGTCCACCTGGGTATGGTAGTTCATGCCTGTGATACCAGTGGCTCAAGAGGCAGAGGAGGAAGGATTGCTAGATGCCAGGCCTTAAAGAATATCCTGAACAGCATAAGGAAACCCCATTTCTGAAAAAATAAGAAAATTAAGGGCAGATGATAGCACAAGTAGTCCCAGCTACTCAGGAAAATCTCTTCAGCCCAGGAGCTTGAGGCGGCACTGAGCTACACCACTACATTTCAGCTGGGGTAACAGAACAAGGGCCTGTCTCTTAAAGAAAACATACAAACAAAAACAAAACACTCAGATGAAAACCTTTTGGGAAGGCTAATTTGAGGAACCCTCTCATGTCCTCTTTCAACTGCCTTACAATTAAGCACCCTGCTCACCTCTCCCTATTTCTGTTTGTTGGTCTGTGACCACACAGGGGAGCAGTTGAACCTGGTGGTTCTATAGCCCTATAATAAGTCACTCACAATACTCTGTCAGCTGGGCACAGAGACTCATATGAGCCCAGGAGTATAAGACAACCTTGACCAAGAGTGAGACCCACCATCTCTACTAAAAACAGAAAAAATTAACTGGGCATGATGGCATGAACTTGTATAGTAGTTCCAGATACTCAGGAGGCTGAGGCAAGAAGATCACTTGAGCCCAGGAGTTCAAGATTACAGTGAGCTATGATCAGACCATTGAAAATCATATCTGTGTGTCCACTGGTGTCTAGAACAATATTTTATTTAATTATAGGACCATCTTATTTACTCATTGCAAACAACTGAAAGAAAATTAATCACACTTACCATGCTTATGGATTTGCTGATGTTCTTAGTATTTAACTGTAGAATATTTCCAACAATTGGGAGAGGAGTGGGGCCAGGTGGCAGTTTTCCTTGGCCATAGCTTGCATTCCACAGAGAAAAAAGAATCAAACAAGACAGACAAATCACCAATGAAGAGATCCATTGATGGGATTTGTGTAAATGCAATTGAAAGCAAGGAACCCAAAAGTTTTATAAACACGGGTGCAAGCTTATCTCTAAATACAAATTCAGACTTTGAAATTTGAATAAGCATTTTTTATCTTTGGTACCCTTTGGCCTGCTGGTAGAAATAAGAACAAAATGGTCAGTTTATTATTGACTAATTCCTATGTTTCTGTGGATAATCCAACTAAAAAACGACTCTCGCTTTATTTGAATAGTAATAGGGAAGGCTATCAGATTAGCAAAGGACTAACTAGATGGAGTCCATGGTCTCAACAAGTGATTAAAAGGAATATCTCATGAGTCAAAATCTATCATCATATGAGCAAAACAAAGAAGCTGTCTCTTTCTTAGGGCCTGTTCCCAAGAATTGGAGGTATTATAGGAAGCCAGTCTTATTAATAGTAAAGCTATCCCAAATCTTGTGACAGAGCCCTATTCAATAAGGCAGAAATAAAAACACTCCCAATGGATATGATGCCTACATAAACAGTAGACAGGAATCCACCAAGTCAAGAAAAGAAACTGCTCACACATAACCAAAGAAAGTCCCCTGTGTGTATATCACCATTCCTCTCCTTGTGCATCCATTCCCACTGAGGGACTGGCACTCAGCACCTGCTTTGCCTCTTCTCACTTAAGTGTGGAAATAATCCAGCATTTAACACTACAAATATGTGAAAATGTCAAGAAATTCACGAATATGAACAAAACTTCAAGATTCAAAAGATATTGAGGAAATCTGACATCATAACAAACAGAAAACTTCATTACCCTGGGTAATCCAGGTTAAACATCTTAAGACTCTTAATCACATCTGCAAAGTACCTTTTACCAACTGAGGTAACATAATCACAGACACTGAGATCAAGATGTGGACATTTGGGGGGGGTCATTATACAGCCTACCATACATTGCTTACTTACAGCATTTCTCAAAAATCAACCGGACATATTTGTGTGGTCTACTTCTGAGTTATCTACTCTGTTCCAATGACCTGTCATGCTATCTACTGCCAACATACATACCACTCTGTTTTGATTACTGTGAGACTTTATGTCAAACAAACCTCCCCCCTTTCTACTTTTATAAAATGTTTTTGATGTTCTACTTCTTTGACTTTCCATATAAATTTTACAATAGTCTTGCTTTACATGCAAAAAAAATCATAGTGGTATTTTGATAGAAATCCCATTAAGCCTACATATTACCTTAGAAGGAATTCACGTCTTTGGTTTTGTAGGGCAGCCAGAGATTACCTCCATCTCTTCCCACTTGTAGCTCTTATGTCGGCTCTTTAGCTGTAGCCAGAAATCAAATTGACACCAGGGAAATTAGCAACAGAAAAGCATTTATTCATTTTATATGTACAGGGGAATCTTCACAAGAAAGTGAGTTCTGAAGAAGTGACCAAAGCAAAATGCTTTTATATGTTCTAGACAAATAACAATAAATTTGAGAAGAAATGACACAACAAAGGGCATCTCACTAGGGGTAATAAGTTTCTAGGGAAGGCTTACTGGAAAAATACACAAAATGGATTTTTTTCTCTGCTCTCTCATAATGACAATCAACACAAAAGGCTTCCATGACCAAATGTGGGGGTTTCTTCTGACACACCAAGCAAGCAATCAGTTCTCTAACAGATACAAGTAGGTGTCCTCCCATTCAATTCTGACACTATCTACCTGGAGTTACCATCAGATTCCACAGATTGAAGGCTCTGTCCCAAAGACTGGTCCCCCACCCCCTGTCATACAACAGACACAAATCCAGGCCTCCAGAACTTCTGATCAACCAGATTCAAGCTGAGGTTCCATGTCCAGTTCTTATGATTAATTTGCTTGAACAACTGACAGAACTCAGGGAAACACTTATGTTTGCAACTTTATTATGAAGGATATTACAAAGGATACAGGTGAAGAGATGCATAGGGCAATATATATACATATATATGTAGTATACATACATATATATGCATACATGTGTGTGTAAACATATGTGTATATATATATACATATATATATATATGAAGGGGTACTGCCCCATACCCTCCACACCATCCACAGGCCCAGCATCCTCCAAGAACCTCCATGTGTTCAGGCATCCAGAAACTCAACATATCTTATCCCTATTTATATCCCATCCTCTTGGGCTTTTTATGGATACTTCGTTGGGTAGGCAAGATTGAGAAACATGTATAAATGTTGATTGAACAAAAAGGGTATTATTGAATACCAATAGACTAGGGAGGGAAACCCAGAAAGACCTGTCTATTCAGATCCTTTCTGGCCTCACTGTACACCATGCCTTCCTCCAGTGTGTGGGGCAGGACCCTCTTTGGAATGGACATCTTAAGACCTACACTCAAAGAAAGTAGGTCAGATACCTGCTTTGATGAAGAGGGATTCTACTTTCTATGGCTAGCCTCAAGGGAGAACAAGGGCCAGAGACAGGAGGGCAGGAAATGGTCAGAGAATCAGAGCTGTGGAATTTATGAGCCAGGATTTATAAGTGAAAACCTATATACATACATATGTGTGTGTGTATTTATGCACATATCATAATATCACAGGGAGTCACTGGGAGAGACAGGGGTGGAGCTAGTGGAACATAAACATTACTTCGGAAAATATATTTATTCAGATCCATTGCAATCCACAATTCCCAGTCTCTGGAGCTAAGGGCTATTTTCTTTTTTTGGTAGGGGGAAAGCACCTTTCACAGAGGACTCTTTATGGCTAGCTCTATGCCAAGATAGATAAGTCTGCCAGCCCTTTCTGAAACTGCAATTTCACCAAGGTTTTCAACTCAAAATAATTGATATCTCAACGTGGCATGTTGCGTATGTCACATGCTTCACTTCTTCATTTCCTGAGTCTGAAACTTCACTAGAAGTTTCAAATGTGAAAAGCTGAGTTGGTGACTGTAGAGATATAAGTCTGCAAAAGGAAAAAAGAAGATAGATTGGGATGAAAATAAATAAACAGAAAAGAACAAATCTAAGCACAGTTCCACATACTCAATTAAACTAGCTGCCTATCCCTGGGAATAGGTCTATCTGGTGAAATGGTTTAGTCTCATGTATTCAATGAAGAACATGCATTTGTCTTTTAAAAGATGCAGGAAATTAGACTTTACCTGTCCTGAATGATTCACATAGAAGCAACATTCTTCTCCAATAATCATGCTGGCTCCTTCCCATTGGGATTTCTGTACATCTAGTGCTTGGCAATTCTGAGGTACAACCGAGACTAAATGCTCAACTTTCTATTGAAATGTTTCCAGTGCTTGAGTAGTAATTGTGAACTCTTGTTCTATTACTATAGAAAATTTAGAACTGCCTTTTCATTCTCATAAACCCAATTCTTAGGAAATAAGTTTTCAACATTAAAAATAACTTAGAATTATAGTTCTAAGTATAGAACTTTTATATGTTCTTTTATATGTCGGACTAATACTATTAGTATTAGTATTAGTATTGCTTAATACCAGTATTATTATTGCTTAATACTTTATTACAGCAATTGTCTGATTTCTTTTCTGAATGTATTCATCTTCATTTATTCTTTACAAGGTTTTTATTTCTAGTCCTTATATTAAGCATTGTTACTGTTGTTAAATTTTAAGCCTTTTGAATTCTGTGAAGGCAAAAAGTAGAAACCTAATAATCACATGTATATGTAAAAATTTTTAAAAATTCAAAAAAAATTGATGCATATGAAGGATTGTGTCATAAAGACAAAACAGCAGGACTGGGCACAGTGGCTCACACCAGTAATCCTAATACTCTGGGAGGCCAAGACGGGTGGATTGCTTGAGCTCAGGAACTGGAGACCAACCTGACCAAAAGCTAGACCCCATCTCTACTAAAAGTAGAAAAATCAAGGCAAAAGGATTGCTTCAGCCCAGGAGTTGGAGGTTGCTACGAGCTATAACGCCACTGCACTCTACCCATGGCAACAGCTTGAGACTCTGTCTCAAAAAAAAAAAAAAGAAGAAAAGAGCAGAAAAAAGTCTGTCTTCTCAACAAGAAAAAAAAATTTTTTTTAAGTTACAATGCAGACAAAACCCACTGTAAAAACTAGTTATGTGGAAGGGGGAAGAGCAAGATGGTGGCCCACTAACAGCTTCCTTGCAACTGGGCACAGTGAGTCTGAGGAGAGGAGACTACAGGCATCTCTGGCTGGTGGGATCAGCCCAGAAACATCCCTTTGGAGACACAAGGAGTCAGCAAGGGACTTCTGGACCCCATGAGGAGGACAAAAGCAGTGGAGATCTGGCAAGTGTTTGGGTGTATTTGTTTGATCTAATCCCACCAGCAGCTGTAAGTACAGCAGCTTGGAGATTGCAAACTGGAAAGGCCTTACCTATGAGCTGTTTGGGTATTTTTTTGGACTTGGCACTCAGTTGAACTATCTTGGGAGAACTTGGGTAAGAGAGCAGAGGACTTTAAGCATCAGCCTGGGCCCCAGCCTGACCCGCTGAGCTGGACAGAGCTAATTGTGTTTGGCTGTGGGCTGCACTGAACCATTGGGGGAGAACTGCCCAGGCAAGCTTCACCCTCAGGGTTGCAGAGCAAGGATGGGGGGAAGTGAGTAATCTAGTGACTGGGCAGCCTAAAGGCGGGGACTGAGATGCCTTGCAGCCTTGGCCCTCAGGGGCATAGTGTGAGATTGGTTTTGGCACACTGGATAAGTGGATTGCCACTTCAGGAGTGATCCCAGCAACAAGTGCTTTCCCAGGAAAGCTTCTGCATAGCCCATGTTGGCAGTTTAAAGTGACTTTTAAGGTGGCTGAGGTGAGATTTAGGCTCTCCACTTTACGTGGTTTGAGAAATCAGCAGAGGCTCCCAGTCTTCATCTCTGGTACAGCCACATCAGCATTGTAATTAACATCTCATACCCCAGAATATCACCTGTTGCCCAGACAATATTGAACAAGATATATATATTGTTTTGGTTTGTTTTATTTTGTTTTTCTTTCTTTCTTTTTTTTTTGTATTTTTTTAATTTCAACATTTT